GGGCAGGACGTGAAGTGGTTGCACACTTGGTTCAAGCGAGCGAATTGGTTGCAATCTTGACAAAATGGCGAACACGGCGTGATTTTTTGAAACGAGTGAACGAATTTTTGTCAGGCAAGTGGGTTTCTTTGTTATTTTGAAGTTCATTAGTATGTCTATTCCATAATGTAATATATATGCCACACTCGGTTTAAGGTTTCAGCATCCTAGATTCTGTTTTGAGGAAGTTATTGAAGATGTAAACTGATCATGTAGATATTTTGAAATTTGACATGTGTCTGTTCTGGTCGGTTTTTCTCCTAATTTATTCGATTTTGTAAGTTTTGAACTGCATTTAACAATAACAAAATATGTTTCTGTCAATGCTGCACAAATTCGCATAGAGTCTTCGGACTCATTTAAAGATATCTGGTTCCATATATGTCTATATATGGGATAATATATTAAGAAAATCAACTTATATATATTGCTACCTTGGTTTCATACACTGACGGTATGGTTTCATATATTGTAACTGTGGATTAATATAATGACTGCCGGTGTAATGAGGTGTTTTCAATTCATATATGGTCGAAGTGAACTTATATATTTATATAGAATAATCAAAAAAACAATATAATTAAGGCAGCCATGGCTTTACATAAATAAATATGTACATCACAAATGTCGTTCTGAACAATTGGAATATTTTGAAGGCAGCCAGAATTCGCTCTATCCCTTTGTACTACGAACTGTGTTTTTTTTTATCTCCCTACTCCCTTTCTTTCTTTTTTTTTTAAATTAAATGAATCTGAAGTCTTCCTAAATCATGATATAGTGATATTTCAGTAAATGTTTCTGGTTCCGGAGACCGCTTGAATTTCTTCTCTGTTTATTTTAATTTAATTTTTTTTGCTGAAACTTATAACAGAAAGTGACAAAAATACATACAGAAGGTCCTCCTAGAAAAGATTACAAATCACTAAATCGGAAAATACATAAATGTACTTATAAAGTTTCTAATAAAACAAGTACATAATTAACGAAAGTTTAGGGGGTGTGGGGGTATTATTTAGAGACGTTCTGTATGTAATATGTATTAAAGACTTTAAGTTAGTGTAAGTTTCATCCACGTTTTAATAATCAACAATATATAGAACTCATACATAATGATTAAAATCTAAATACAAACTGATTCATGATTTGATAGACAGAAATATGTATATAAATCTTTACAACTAAGTAAACAACATCACATGTTCGAAATTTTAACACATATTATGTATATAATATATAAATATTAAAATCAATAAAATGCATACAACAATTCGAATGAACTGCACAATTCAGTTAAAAGAAACAACGAGTTACTTGAAATATGAGCCGCGTCATGACAAAACCAACATGATGCGTTTGCGACCAGCATGGATCAATCCAGACCAGCCTGCGCATCCGAGCAGTCTGATCAGGATCCATGCTGTTCGCTTACAAACCCTATAACAAGTACAGAAACTGATAGCAAACGGCATAAATCCTGATCAGACTGCGCGGATGCGCAGGCTGGTCTGGATCCATGCTGGTCGCAAACGCATTATGTTGGTTTTGTCGTGACACGGCTCAGTCATGTTTTATAGTCAATAGTAAAAAAAATCGAAATTTCGTGTGCGCAACCACTTTAACTAAGGAAGCAATATACAAATTTAAGTTAATATATATTATTAAATTATTTTCTTATGTTTCTCTGAAACAGCAGAAAATATACACAACAGCATTCAACAAACATTTAATACACACACAATTACGAATAAAACTACGACAGTTACTCATTTTCAAGTTTTCTTTCTTTTCTTTTTATATAGTTGCGTTGTTGTTGTTGTTTAAATTTCACCATTCGTATTCAGGGCAGTCATCTGTGATTCATGTCAAGCTTTAATGTATTCTTCCTGCTATATGTGTACGAATTGAATTTGATTGTTGTGTTTGCACTATTTAATGTAATTTATCTATGTAATACACATATTTCTTAAATAAAAAATGCCACAACAATCATTTTGTCTTTTCCATGTTTGTATATTAAGTATATCAAGTATATTAACAATGTTAATAACATTGTGTGTGACGTCATTGGCAACATCTCTTTATACCAAACAATCCGTGTATTTTGAGATCTCATATATTCATTTGAGTTTTTGTGTGTTTTTTACAATGATAGAAACTATTGAATAGTGGGAATCTTGAAAGTATCCCAAAAAAGCAAAAATTGAATAAGTTTAGACTCATCTGGATTAAAGTATATTCGTTAACGACAGTGGTCAATGACTCCTATCGACCACGCCTCCAAGCACCGGCTGAAGACTTACCGCGTGTCTAACATGAAATCAATCGGACGCTAACAAAACAACAATCTATTCTGCTGACTATAAATATCTACGTAGACAAAGTTGTTGCATTCTGCGAGGCTTTTGTTCTCAACAAAAAATTCAATGTTCGTTTATTAGCCACAAAAGCAAAGAAGAGGCAAATACCTTGAGACGCGTTTAAGACAATAAAGATATAATCAAATAAGTTGACATTAAGAAAGAAACTTAGAAAGCCAAAAATCCATGTAAAGCCAGTCAATGTAGAAAGTTTTGCATAAATATGTAGAAGGTTCCTATCTTGGTCTAGACTCATGCGGCTGTTTTGCATTTGGATTACAACGACCGAAAATAGTATAATATTTATCATAATAACAAGACCAACAGGCAAAGTGAATAAGTAAGCGACCATCTCGCCCTTTTGGATGTAGCACATTGAACCGCCATAACCAATCTCTCTCCCATTAGTCATGCTTAATGATACGATAATTGTGGTAAGTATGACAGCCAAAGATGCGGTAAAACTGTATTGGATATACATGAAGGTGGTCTTTAGTTTGTTGAATTGAACAATCCTTATTCGACTTAACCTAAATACACGAAACATATGAATGCAACATGAGTTCATCCAGAAAATAACAAAGAGCCAAGAGAAATGTACACATATACCAATGCCTTGACAAACTGCTTTTGACACATTGCAAGACTGACCGCTGCCAAACTGGAACAGAGACTGAGCAACAATTAATGTAAAGCACAGAATGACGTTATTGATCCCTGGCTGTGTTTGCAACTCTTTGAAACTGAAAAAGACAATAACAGTAACAAAGGAAAATGAAATAGAAATACATGAACACACAAGAGATAATACAGCGACAGACGAATCGGTTTCAACTTTACAACTTAGCTTCGGTTCAAGTACTTCTGTATCGATAGTAGCCTTATTCAAAACACCTTTAAACGTATCAACACACAGAAGAACTTCTTCGTGATCAGACGTAATAAGCACGTCCTTCTTGTCTAATGACGCATTTAATTCTTTGATGTAAATGGAGTGTGGGTATCGTGTAATGCCATACTCTTCATTTTTCAACTTAATCAACGGACAAGAATGATGAAGAGTAAGTATTGTCTTAGGAAAGTCGTATCGAAAACCTTCCTCGCTGATACTAGTAATTAAATAAAAATGTTTATTATATTCATCGAGAATTTCTGAAGAATCGGTGTCATCCATGTAGTACGAAGCAACTTCAGCGGTATATCTAATACTTGTTATATCCTGCACCTTATTTACGGTGGAATTCATAAACTTCGGAATCGCTAGTAAGTAATCTATCACATCTGTGCTGACGGGAAAAAGAAGGCCAAAATCAATCTCAAGATAAGCAATGAAATATTTTAAAGTATTGTCGTCGGTGGCATCTGTTGGTATATTGTTTGTATAAATGTATATAGATTTGGGAGTGCTGTTGAGTTTAGCACTCAACCAGATTTGTAAAAACTCTTTAAGTTGGAAAGCTAACAAGTTGGAATAGAACTCATCGTCTGTGTTGATGGGCATGTAAGGTGTGAACCTTATGAAGATCCCGTAAGTGACTCCTCCAAGAAATTTAATGAGATTAACGCAAGTTCCATTCTCGATTGCTTTAGGAAATAAGCACTGAATGTCTCTGCAGATTTTCTGAAACGAAATCGTAAAATTTGATTTGATTTCACAGTGAGAATAGCAAAGTGGTAAAACATTTCAACTCGTACATTGTGCGTGGGGTTAAGCACAAATTGGGAAAAAAACGAAGCAGAAAACTGTTACAATTAAATATCTTATTTGTTACACCCGGAATGAATATTGTTTTAATTTAGCACTATTTACCTGTCTAGACGAAAGATAATTGGGTGCATGTATTTCAAACATTGACTGTATAGATCTTTGTTTCCTTTGTCCTTTTGTAAGTACATGTAAGTAAATTTTTGAAAAAGAAGGAGGGTAAGTCATATAATTTTGAAAAATGTTACTATATAGACCTAAAATTTAATCTTTGAAAAACCAGAAAACAAAGAATATGGAAAATTTATACCTTCACGGAATCATATATCTGATTTGATTCGCAGTTTTCTGCTGGTCTAAATTCAGATATCGTATCTGTTTCAGTTCGAACCTTTAATATCGCTGTAAAATCAACAAAAACAGTTGGGCTTAGTTTATCTTTGCAAATCTTTGGAACGCGAGTTTCATTTGAATTGCATAGATAGCAGAAGACATTTCTGTACCGGAAGTTGTATATGGTTGAGTAAGCAGCACAACCAGCTTCAATGTCAGGGTCATATATTTCCCAAAGTCCAGTAACATTGCAAGTCGAAATCACCATTTTACACTCGTAGTTAGGTGTTAGAAACTTAGGTCGCTTATAAACAAGGTTACAGCTTTCGGCAGCAAATATTTCTGTAACGGCTGTACGTATTCCTTTTAATTTTAATATTGACTTAAAACACCATACATTAGCGTCCCAATGGTGGAGGTCCTTGTCGGAGGCATTATGACAATATGCGCAATATTGATTCTTGTAAATGAACAGTGTTTTCTCGTCTGTTACAGGCACTTTTGTTGTGATGTCAGTATAATTATCAGAGTGCTCACATTTATCGATCAAATCAATATTTATTTCTTTAACGTCGGGACATGTTGTAAACATTTTATAGTGCCATTCCGAATCAGGGTAATCTACTGGATCCGTGAAAGGTTTTAGTTGTGGGTACAGACACGTCATCTTTGTGCCGGTTTTTAAAGTGGATTTTCCTAATGTTTCGACACAGCAGGAATCTGAAACATCACATGTTGTTTCATCACATGAGCACTGTCCGCAACACTTATCATTCGGAGACGAAGTATTCAAATTAGATCCGCAGTCATTGCTCTTCGTAGTACAAAATGAATTCTCAATATCTACAAAATAGTCCCAACGTGGTATCTCTTGCTCATCATGCAATATTCCCTCTGCTACTTGTGAAGAGAACACAACTATACAAACTGCTGCTACAAAATACATAGTTGTGCAATATACGGATAGAAATGTAGACAAACGTACAATAGCCGTTGTCAGTCTGCGCATGTTGGTGAAGTAGCGGTATTTATAAATACCCATGGTTTTATGACGAAATATATCTCGTTGATTGGTGAGACATAAACTACTTATTCTTAAGACCAGCCCTCTTTTCATAGCAATTTTCAATTTTATGATATACATTTTTTGCGTGTTATCAACAATGATCGATATCTGCCTAAAGTCTAAGAAAAATGGTAAAATTCCAAAAGATTCCATTTAAATTCCATGTATAATGATTATTAACGTTTGTATTCATGACAAATTTGTTAAAAAAAGTCTTATTATTTTGTCTTAAAGATTTATATGTCGATCTGAGTAAAGGCTTGTAATGTATTTAAATACGATTGCCTATTAAAAAATAATAAAACCTGAACCTTCTAATTTATGAAGTTTTTTTCGCTGCTTTGGCTCATAAATACATGTTAATTATGACGAAAACACTTGGAAGATGATGTTATAAGAATAAATATGTACAGTGTTCCTTTTTGTATTAACTATTATTGTGAGACCAGGAATTTATGTTTCAATTCAACTCGGCCTTAAATTGCAATGTCTCTCTCCTTTTCTGTTAAATATTGACTCTGTTTCAAAATTAAATTAAACTTTGGTTTTGACTTAAAACATTTGAACAATTTACTTTAGTTTAGTCCTTATATGTACAGCTTTCTAAATTTGAGCTTTAAACTCACGTTTAGATCATAAACTAAACAGTAGATTGAGTTCTAAACCTTAATATGACAACCTATACATTTTACAATAGTGATTAATAATGATAATGCCTTTCAAAAGCATTGCGTTAGAACAATGCAATGTCATACAAAAAGGTATTACATTAAATTTTATGGCACTTATATTGTTCCAGGTGCCCTTATCGAATGTCACTTAATCAAGAATCTCCTTTATTAATTGACATATCATGTACAACTATTAAACTGTGAACAGCTCACTATAGGGACTAACTACCATTAAATAAATGGGAAAAATCCGTATTAACGTCATGAACAGTAATTCAAGCTCGTCCTGGGAAATGCAAATTAATCAACATATTCCAGATTGAAATTTCGACAAAACATTCAGTAAAAAGATATGAGAAATAAAACAAATATTCCTTTTAAACGATGAAATATTCATTGCGATGAATTTAATACATGTACAATGGAGATTATAATAGTGTTAATATACTGCTATCTTGATAATTTAGTAAGATATTTATATATCATTATAAATGAATACATCTACAATGTTTATTCCATAATGATATATGTTGGAAGTTGAGAAAAGCAAAGATATTTCATTCTAAAAAACATCTTATCACTTAATTTACTTAACTTAAAATCTATGTGCACACCAATTTTGTTTACTGAAAGAACTTTTTCTTAAAATTAAATCTCTCATTGTTAAAAATCAAATATTTCGCAAAAGAAAAACAAAATATCCCAAAATAGCAGCTGACTAAATAGCATCGTCGGTACCACTGACACGGTGCGCATTGTACGGTACCACGGACATTGTGCAATTCATTAATTAATACGCTTTGCTTCATGAAATATATACCGATAACGCTAAAAACCTAATCAAACTGTACATATGCTTCTTTAAAGACTGTGTAAAGAATCTCTATTATCAACAACATTTAAAATTCGCTATCTATATACGGAACAAGAGGGCCACAATTGCCAAAAGACTCGCCCAAATAGTAGCTGAAGTTTCATTTTGATTATGTAACCTTATCCATCATGAATTCATCATAATGCAAATATAATTATTAAACTACGTTCATTTCGGTTACGTAAAGGACACTTCACCAGGATTTTTTTTTAGAAAACTTCGGTTGAAATTGAATAAAAATCATATAACTCTATGACATGAAAAAGAACACTGTCTTTGTGACCTAGACGTACTTCCATTGTGTAAATGTCTATGCAAGCTACACATAAAATAAACAAGATAAAAATGTAAATAAATTAGGGTCGTGGCAATATAACCCTATTTTCAACCACCGTGACCCAGACCCAACAGAAAGATTGCGATCTACATACAAAATATCTTAGACATCAAACACATGGGGGCTGATAACACGCACACAGTCATAATCGCATGTGAACCATTTTACGTTTAAAAGATTTTAGAATACCAATTGACATATGATGTACATCAATCCGAAAAATTGTAAACAAGCATGTCGTTTTAACTTTTGGTTTTTTGTAAAATATTTTAAGTACATTTACATACTTTATTTTCGCTTTTCATGGAATGACACTACTGTGTCACATTGAAGGTTCCATGAAAACCGCCGTATGAACACATCTGCGGATGTTTTTTAATTCAAAATTTCACCATTTTAGTGTTTAAATGTTGAATTCTGCTTAAGCCGGTGCTAGGGGCGTGGACGGTAACTTGCACTATCCAGTACCGTCCATGAACAGGCTCAATCAAATCAAGTCTGCAACATTTTCAATTTTGTCGTGTTGGGCTTTCTTTAGGGATTCTGTATTTCTCTATTTTATGTCTAAAGCAACTGCTGATCTTTACATACGAAACCAACAAATTAACATTTCGTGTGGTTTTGATATAAACTTTGGAAATTTTGTCGAGTAACATCGTATGAGTGCACATGTCCTTAAGTATGTTTATGATGAAAATAATTCACTTAAATACAACAGTACTCTCACATACGTTTGTTTTGTATGTAGTTTTCATTTGCATTTTACATAAGATGACATTTATTAGAATTGAAGTATCAATAACTATTTTTCTATATACTATTATTTTGTTTGCAGGTTTTTACTGATGATTATATAGTATTGAACTGAGAACCATGTAATTTGAAACATAAAGTGCATAATTGTTGTAAAAGAAGAAAGTTTAAATAACATTTATAACAAAAACGACCAACTCCCGGCAGCAAAGAACTTTTATAGTGTGGCATCCGATACAATTAAGAATTATTATAGGAACATATCACAAAAAGAGTTTCACCTTCATCATGTAAGTGAGGAGTTTGTATATAAAGAATTATGTAGGCTTAATATAAGCAAAAGCACTGGATTAGATGGTATCCCTGCAAAATTTCTAAAAGATGGTGCTGATGTGTTAAAAATCCCTATAACTTATATTGTGAATTCTTCAATAACAGAGGGGGTTGTCCCAGATGATATGAAAAATTGCTTGAAGTAAAACCTCTACACAAAAAAGAATAGTAAGCTAGATGTCGGGAATTACAGACCAGTTAGTATTTTATGTATTGTATCCAAGATTCTAGAACGGGCCGTGTATGTACAATTTGAGTCATTTTTTAAGAACTAATAATCTAATTTACGAACACCAGTCCCGGGTTTCGGAAAATCTCATTCAACTGACACATGTCTTATTTACCTACTTGACTATATCCGTACAAATAGCTCCAAAGGGTTATCACTGGTATGGTTATGATGGACTTACAAAAAGCTTTTGATACCGTCAATCATGATATTCTATATTTTGTGTTGATAAATTAGATATAATTAGGTGTCAAATCTATTTCTGGTTTAAATCATACTTGTCAGGTAGGTATCAGAAAGTAAGTATTGGTAAAGTTTTTTCTGACTCAATTCCTATTACATGTGGGGGTCCCTCAGGGCAGTATTTTGGGTCCTCTTCTATTTCTCTGCTACGTATATGACATGGTAACAAGTATCGATTCTGATTGCAAGTTATTTTATATTGCAGATGACAGCACAATATTATTTTCGCATAAGGATCCAAAATTATAGCCCAAAAACTTGGAAAGGTATTGGAACGATGCTCAGATTGGTTAGTGGATGAATAAATTATCTTACAACCTGGGCAAGACTGAATGTATGCTATTTGGTTCTAAATCGAAATTAATAAAATTACAAAACTTTTCCATTTTTCATGTAATGATCAAACAATAAAGTCTTCGTCTGAAGTTAAATATCTTGGTCTGATAATATCGATTGTTACCTATCAGGAGATAAAATTGTGTCAAGGAGCATTTCTTTCAAAGGTGAATGGAAGATTACATTTTCTATACCGTTACAAAAATTGTTTATCGGAAGAAATAAAGAAACAGTTATGTTTCCTGCCCTTTTGGCTGTGTCACTTTGATTATTCTTCATCTTCTTTTGGTACGAAGGACTGAGTAAGTCACTGAAGCACAAACTTCAAGTAGCTCAAAATAAGGTTGTGCGCTTTTATAAAAGACTATACTCCTAGGACTTTCAGTGACAAATAAGGTCCTGTCCGATCTTAAATTATTAAATGTCAATGATAGAGTTAGACAGTTAAGACTCAACCACATTCATTTTAAAGTTTATTACAACAAAAGCCCTTCCTATTTAAAGGGAATTGTTTAAGGTTTGTAGAATATCCAATTTAAGATCCAGTAATTTTAATTTTTTTTTACCTCAAAATGATTCTTATGTTAAAAATACATTTTTTCTACAATGCCATTAAAGACTGGAAATATCCTTTTACCAGACAACGATTAGATCAATTGACAATATCCAAAACATTTTAAAACGAAAGTAAAACTTTTTTTAAGTAAATGAAAATGATAAACAAGTGAATAAATATGTTTATTTATTATTAAATTGAATGTGTAACTTGATTGATAAGGTTTTGAAAACATGTTTATGTGTTAGCTTTGATATGTTTTTAGTTTAAAAGAAACTTTTTTAAATTTTGTTTGTGTACAATGTACTTGTCTTATTATATTGAAAAAATGTGTTTTGATTATTGAAAATTTGTCATTAAGTTTAACTTCTTTATAATTCATTTATTCATTATGTAAGTTTTTAGGTAATAATTTTACAGAAAATGGACCCCATTGGAAATAAGCTTTTAGCTTAATGGGTAATCCTAGGGTTACATAGAACATACTTATTGATTAATCGTATAATTATTTTTGTGCATTTATTTGTGTGTTTTTATTTATATTCAAGTTGATATCTGTGATAAAATTGTATGTGTATACATGTAT